CCCCTTTTTTTCAAAGTTGTGCTTCCCGGGGATGGCGTCCTCCCCCCCTTGGCCGGGGGCCGTTGGTTACCAACCAAAAAGGGCGGGCCGGGGTCCGGGCAAAAAGCCCGCCATTAAAGGGGAGGGGAAAAAAAACCCCCCCCGTGCCCCCGTTGGGTTTTGTTTACTCCATGAAGGAAAATCCCTCCTTGGCGGAAAGCATCGAAATTTCCCCTTTCTTTAGGCAGGGGGCAGGCAAATTTTTGGGGCCACCCCCCCCCCCCCCCCCGCGCGCGCGCGCAGCTGCGCATGTTTGGGCCCTGCGCGTGATGCGCACCTTGCCGAAGTGATCCCTGAGCTCGTCCTCGTTGACCTCGTAGTTGACGTTGCCGACGAAAATGCGCCGGCCATGCCCATCCTCGCCGCCCTGGTACACCTGAGGCAAGGCGTGCGCGTGAGGACAGCGCGAGAAGAGACAAGGGCGCTGAAGGGCGCCGCCCACCATCGTTTGGGCGTCCGGCTGGCGGCGCCCGCTGCCAGCCGCGAAATCTGAGGTCGCCCCGCCCGCCTGCGCCCCCGCGACGGCCCCGCAGCGGCCGGGCCGGCTGCCTTGGTGGGCGGGGCACCTCCCGCTGCCGCGTCGCGGCCGCGGACGCGCTCGGAAGCACACCGCGGGCCTCTGCTGCGCGCCTCGAAAGCGTCGCCGCTCTCGACGCGCGGAAGAGCCGGTCCCATGCGTCGGTCCGAGCATCACGCACCCCCGTGCTCGGTCGCAGGCACCTACTCGACGGTCGACGAGCTCGCCGGCATGTCGCCCGCGCGATACGTCACTCCTGATCCCGATGACGACGGCTACGACGAGGACGTGCCCGCCGACCCCCCACCCCCTGCCGCCGACGACGATGCCGCGCCGGACGACGAGCCTGTGGTCGGCGACGCCGATGGCGGCGGCGGCGGCGGCACGGGCAACGCGCGGCGCTGGGCCGAGGTCTTGCCCGACCCGTCGTGCTGCCCCGCGCTCCCGCTGCTTCTGCTCGCGCTCATCGGCACGGTCGCGTTTTCCTTCTCGCGTCCGCCCGCGGCGCTGCTGCAGTGTGGACCAGCCACTCCATTGACGCTGCTGCTGGCGCCTCGACCCGAGGCGCAGTCAAGGACAGGAGCAGCGGCGAGAGGCAGCGAAGAAGTGGCACGGACGCAGCGAGCGCGCAGAGGCAGAGCACGAGTAGTCGAGCAGGAGAGGCGGCCGCACGTGCGAGCACGAGCACTGGTGTGCGGGACCACGTTGGTCGCATGTCGAGCTCGGACCTGCGCTTCGGGCCTTCGGCTTGGACACAGTTTTGTAGAGAAACGCGACAAACCAGAAACCTCAAACGGCCGGGTGTACTCTGAGTCTGTACACCAAGTACCCCTTCAACCCCTGTCCCATTCGCCTCTCTGATATGCCAGGACAAGACGGGCGCGGAGCCCGCACTCGAAAGGGCTACTAGCCTCTCTCGACGCTACGGCTTTTCTTTTGACTTACGCCGCCCTCCCCCCCGCCCCCCCCCCCCCCACACGTAAAGCTAAAAGCCTGGCCTCGGTGCTAAGCCGTGGCTCGCGCGACACTGCCCCCGGACGTGTGAGGCGCAAGCGGATGTTGAGGGCGATGTTTGCAACCTAACGGAGGCGAGTGTAGCGGTGCGCTGTGCCGGCGCCGGTGCTTATGTGACTACTCCAAGAGACCGTGTCGATTGAAGACTACTCATGACAGAGTGAGAGAGTGTATGTGCGGGTGGACGTGGGCGAGAGGCGTGATGTGGGATGGCGCACCGGTCGCGGTGGTGCGGATGAGTGAGCCGCCGCGCAGCCGTGGTGCTCGATGAGTGAGCCGCCGGGACAGAGCCGCACCTGCGCAGGCAGCAAAGGTGGGCGGCGTGAGCGCGCGCGGTGCCGCGCTCCACGGTGTGCGAGAGTGCCGGGCCGGGCGTGCCCCCATCAGCGATGGAAGCTCCAAGCCGGCACAGAAGCTCCGACACGGGCGTCTGCTGGTTGCGCGTGTCGACGAGCGGGCCCGAGCGAGGCCGCAGAGGAGGAAGAACGTCGGTCGTGCGAGCGCTGAGGACAAACGGACGGCTGAGTGAGGGACGGCAGTCATACCGGCAATAGTCGGTGTGCGGCGGCGGTCGCTCGGGGGCGGAGGCCGGCGGCAGGGAGAGAATCGGGCGAGAGCACGGAGCACGCCTACCGTCGAGCGAGAGCAGACATCTACAGAGAGCACGTGCGGCCGCGCCGGGCCGCCGAGAGGCGCACCTGGCGCAACTCGAGCGTAAGTGACCGTGGCGGCAGCCGCTCGGCGCTCGAGGCGACCATCCGACCGCCGGGCGTGCCTCTGGCGCCGACTCGGCGCCGTCGGCGACCCCGCGCGGGCCAGAGTCATGGGGTGGAGATCGCTAG